TAGTTTGTCGTGCCTTTGATTTTGGTTCATTGATGCGCATTTCTAAGAATGGAAAAACTGGTTAACTTCAGTTAGTCATTATCTCCGTTAGTCAGTTTCATTTACAACATTTACTCTCCATTGCAGTTGCTAACTACCGGATATATGGGTTCCTTAAAGGCTTTTGTAGCCACACTGGTCTTTACAATATATGCCTGAAATAATTTACCATCTTTGAAACTTAACCAAACATGACTTATATGTACACCATTGATTGGGTTACATTTTCCGGGTCCGATTACCCTAAAATCTCATGGGGTCTCTGGGTGGATTTTCGTATTTTGTTATTTCATTCCCTACTCTGTGGGAAAAATTAAGTACGTTGTGGGCGTTTCAGATCCTGACAAAATTTTTATAGATAAAAATTCATCCCAAACATGCTAGATTGCTTGAACACTCGATCTTCAGCTCTCCCACGTACATCATCTAGGTAAATGCTTGCAATTGATTATTTCTTTCAAGGATTCTTTCAAAGAGACGATGTGATCCAGTTCCATTGAGAACCACAGCACCTGTGAACCAATCATGGGACCAGGAATGTCCGAAGGTACACATTTTTGTTTTGTGAACGTTTGTAGAAAACCGGTAGTGGAGGGGTCCAACAACACCTACCGGATAATTGCTTCGGACTTTGCAGGGATCATGACTTGGCACTTAGTGTCCTTGAAGCGCTTGGCGACTCTTTTTCGAGAGTGCCCAAGTCCTTTCCGGGATCTTCGTCCAGTTCATTCTCTTCAAACTCCTGTGCTCTCTCAGTTGCATCATCTTCATCTAACGATTGCCCAACGTCTACTAGCATTTGCAAATGGGAAGGCTGTGACGACTGCCATGATGTTGCTACTTCAGGATTACTTTCCCACATCCAGACTTCTCATGTCTATCCCCAGTTATCATCCAGAAAAACCCAGTATACTTGCCTGTGGCGTGGATGCAAGGTTTTTGGACAACCTAGTGTTTCCTCGAACTGGCTCTCCCGCCATGTCCTTAGGCATTCAGAGGCAAGAGGAAAGCCATTTCAATGCATTTTTGAACACTGCGTCCTCCGCTTTTCTTCTACTGCCCTACTGGAACGACATATAGCTCGCGACCATTCGCAAGAAAATGGCGCAACGTGCGCCCCGAAGTCATTGGATTTAACATCTAAGTCGTCAGCTGCACAACAGTCGGTCTCTTCATCACCCCTCATCAATAAACATGCTGCGACTGTGAAAAGCTGCTCCCGGAAATCTTTACGGAAGCGTCGCAAGTTTCGTTGCTATCGTGGTGCGTTGTGTGTTGATTAATCGTTTTATCGACTTTTTACTTTCTCTTTAAAGCTTGCATTATTCAACCACGGTATAGTTTTTTTCCTCAACTGGAGTACAATCGCGTTTTGCAGAATTGCATTAGTCATGATGCGATCTGATCTAGAAAACGAAATTTACTCATATCAGCAACTCTGAATTGATTATTTTTCCCTTTCTGATTTTATCGAAGTTTCGTGTCATGATCTTTATTTGCAGTTGCTCAGTAATCGCTTAACGTGGTGATAGATCTATAAACTGACTTCATCTTAAAATAATAGCATTTGCTGATTTTGGTTCGTGTCGTTATGTCGTTCCAAGTAGATGGGCTCATTTTTGCTGTTCGAACTTTGAGCTGTATCGGTTGTCCTCTTACGTCGTACTACTGGCAGACTTGTTCTTTGCGCTCTATTTGTATACTTGGAAATTGAAGAAACTCACATCGTGAATTTGGAAACGGATTGCGATCTTGTCTCATTAGTAAGGACTGCTTATAGTTTATATAATAATTGCACATATGACTGGAACTAGATTTGAAAGAAGCTAAATTTGCAACAAACCTTTGTCAACTAATTTTTTTGGCATCCATAGTTCCTGGTTTGCATAAGATACAGAAAAGTGCGCGACGTTGTCATCGATTTTGCAGCCTTTGACAAAAGTTCTCATGCTACCGTTTCCATGTATCACGTATCGTTGCGTGGACTTATAAATTAAGTACCTTTTTCTGTCCTCAGTCTCACGTCCTATCTGTCGTCAATGAAGGCATAACACAGGCATAGCACAGGCTATGACATACTAGACTTATATGTTGGGGGGGGG